GAGTCGGAAGTCAGCTCTGAAGTCGGAAGTCAGCTCTGAAGTCGGAAGTCAGCTCTGAAGTCGGAAGTCAGCTCTGAAGTCGGAAGTCAGCTCTGAAGTCGGAAGTCAGCTCTGAAGTGGGAAGTCAGCTCTGAAGTCGGAAGTCAGCTCTGAAGTCGGAAGTCAGCTCTGACGTCGGAGCGGCATTGCCGCTCCGACTTCATCTCTGGATAACTCTAAATCGACAATTTGCTACGGATTCGAAATCTAAGATCCGACACATCAGAAGATTTCATCTTTTAAATCGCTGCCTTGCGTTCATCAATGAGTATGGTCAGTTCGTGAGTGATGAACACTTTGAACGATGAGATGCCACCTCCCTTGGAAGACTATTCCGAGCAAATTTCATCACTCGAGGAAAGGTGAGGAAGAACGATTAGAATTGCAACCATATGCTACGCTACTTCCGGACAGGAAGAATCATAATAACATTTCACAATGATCCTGATGAGAAAATCACAAGGATGAAAGAGCTCATCAAGCAAGGGTATGCTCTGAAGGATGTGATTCACATCATGTGAATCGAGGGAGACAGGGCAGTGGGGGGAAGTGCGCACACGGTCAACTACATGTGTTGGTGACAATATGGAAACTATAAGAAATCGCGTTGGTTTCCGATCATCCCTATTCTGGTTCGTATATAAGCTTCTATAACGAGCATGGAAATTGGTATATGCGTGGTATACAAGCAATTAATAATGAGTTAGTGATAGTGTGCACGCATGAGTCCGTGTTGAGCCGTAGCCGTCGAGCTCAAGTTCGTTTTGTTCTAATCTCCACTCTCCCCTCCGTATCGCGTTCCTCAGTGCTGGGAAGGCTCAACTAACACTTCCAGCCTGGGAGAAGGTGTTTCATGACTTGGAAACGACTCTAGCATGCAGACGAGACCTGCGCAGGCTGCTTACCGGCGCCAGTCTTCCCGAACTCCGGGATGAACTGGACTAGAACGGCAGAGGGTGGTCCTCCGAACTCGTGTCAGCAAGTGAGATTCAAAAAGGCGGGCCCGGCTCACTTGATGCCCTCCAGTTGAGGGGGCGAACGACTGCTAGAAAACCTCACGGCACGATTTAGCCGGCCCACGCGGCCTTTGCTTGGAAACCTCCGCTGCATTGAGCGAAATGACAGCACTATCTACGCGGCACTCTGATCTGCAAGCTATTCTTAATGCGTGCGTACGTGGTGCAATCCTGCACGCGTCCGCTGTGTATCGACTGTCCTTTTTTTTGGCAGCGGAGCGGCGTCCATCTCGTTTCCGGAATTTAACTTGGGATAAAGGATTATCCTTGATATAAGTGCTCTAAATAACCCACTCCTGGTCTCGTGGGTCTGGTAGGGTGGTTCGGTACTAACCGGCCGAACAAGTGAAGGTTCTGTGTCACTCATAGGTCATGTCACTTACTAGAGTCACTCACACCGTCTGACTGCGTGTTTACACCTTTTTTGGTACTCGCTCCCAGGCGTGGTAAGATTGGAATAGAATAAAGAGTTGACCATGCCATGATAAACGGCGCGCGGAGAGGGTCGGCCTGCTTCACGAGTATATTACCGCAGTGCAAGACTCAGTGAACTGAAGCACGGCCCCCACAAAAAAAGTGACTGCGAGTTTCACGACGTGAAATTCACGTAGTACACTGAACATTAGAAGAAATTTCCGTGAAGACGGGACACGCTCGATTCGGGTTACTCGAAACTATCTTCCATTCCGACAGG